CCCCAAAACCCCAAAACCCCAAAACCCCATCATTCATAATGGTAACTAAAATGACAGAATTCTTATTGCTTATATTGCTAATATATTGAAAAATAAGAATTGAACTCAGAAAGAGAGGTTAATTTATATATTTATTTGGAAACAATAATAATTCAATTCATGAAAAATCATTCATGCTGCTGCTTCTTCACTCAGTGTTGTTTGGTGTACTTGTCGGTAGCATCTTCTTGAATCACCTTCTTGTTTCTAAGGAGGAAGAAAAGTCCAACGCCTAATCCAACTATGGCAAGAGACATGAAAGTGTAAGAGTACCATCTGATATCTCCGTCAGTATCAACAGGTTCATCATCTTCAGTTGTAGTCTTTTTGTCGTCTTCTGTTTTAGGTGGATTCGGTTTGGCATCATCTTTTTTCTCATCTGTTGGCTTTGACTCAGGTGTCTTTGTGTCTGGGTTTGGAGTCTTATTATCTGCTGTTGGTGTTTTATTGTCTGGGGTGGGAGTCTTGTTGTCAGTGCTGGGAGTCTTGTTGTCAGTGCTGGGAGTCTTGTTGTCAGTGTTGGGAGTCTGGTTCTCAGTGTTGGGAGTCTTGTTGTCAGTGTTGGGAGCCTTGTTGTCAGTGTTGGGAGTCTAATTGTCAGTGTTGGGAGTCTTTGAATCAGTATTGGGTGTCTAAGTGCCTGTATTTGAGCCATCAGTGATTGGTTTAAATTCCCCTTCATTTATTGGGGTGGTGGTATCTTAGCCTGGTTAGGTATTTGAATCAGTGCCAGTGTTTTTTGTTGCTGCATCTTGATTATTTGTGGGGGGAGTTGATCCAGTTTCAGTCTTAGGTTGTGTACCATCTGAGGTTGATCCAGCTCCCTCTTGTTTAGTTGAATCTGCAGTATTGGGTGTGGTGGTTCCTTCAACTGGTTTAGTGTTTTGAGTTGATGGATCTTATTGGGTGCCTGAGCCAGCAACAGGTGGTTAAGTTTCTCCTCCTGATGGTGCTCCTGAATTTGCTGATGCTTCTTGAAGATTCATGGTAGCTCCATACTCCGATAATTTCTATTTAACGTATGTGTTAACGTTTGGTGCAATCTTAAGTGTTGCGTCATAGCCTGTTGACAATGTAGAAATGTTTTCTCCCAAAAACTTGAGATTCATGAGATCCCTATAAGGTTAAGTATTATTATCAAATATTCCTTTAAGCAAATAGAATGTATTACTCAGCTTGAGCAGTGCCTTGAGTGTTGGCGAATCCGACGATTCCAAAAACTAAAAAGAGTGAAACAATAGATTTTCTCATAGTTGATATCTTTATTTAATAGTTAATTATATAAATAATTTTTGCTTGCATAAAATACTATTAATCGAATTAAGCATTCTACATGGTGCTTTAGACTTTATTATCATTTACTCCTTGATTTAACCTTACATTAATTCAGATAAGAATTCTTAATTCTCTTATTCCAAGTTATTAATCTGATGGGGTTTTGGGGTTTTGGGGTTTTGGGG